ATTTAATTATCACAAAGTAATTTATTAGAAATATGTGGATTTATCACAAGAGACAGGCCTTCATAATATGGTGTATTGTTGAACCATATTGGCAATTTGATATATAATAAATGTTATTTCTCTTTGACTATTCAATTATTGTACATATACTTTTAAAATGATTAAACATACTATTTTCACTGTTCTATCTTGAACAGATATGTTTAAACACACATACATATGTGCACACAAACACACAGAATACAAAGCAAATAAACTCTAATTAATCAACTATATTTTACATTGCATTCAAAAGGAAATAGATTTCAAATATAATAAATTTCCAATGATTTAAAATATAAGATATTTAATAGAGACATAGGTTCAATTGCTACCACCAAAATATTTACATCAGAAAAGGAAGCCATTAGGCACAGTGATTTTGTTATAGGGGAAAGGATTCAAATTTCATCAATTATATAATACAAGATCTATATAGGAATAAAGTCTTGGTTTTCTATGAGAAAAGCAAGCACTTAAGATTATCAGTATTTATTATTTCTCTATATTTCCATTTTTAAGAATAGAAATGTCCTCATGATAAAATCATTTTAGACAAAATACATTGTACCCTACACCACCAATGGAATCATCTTAATTGATAATCTATTATCAGGTGTATAAATTAAGATCTATGCTTACCAGCCAATATGGCATCGTAGGTAGCACTGCTCTGTGATATAAAACTTCTCTGTGGATAATAAGTTAATCTCATCTTTATAGTTTTTAATCTTGAAGTCTGTAGTTTCCTCTTTAAAATACAGGGGGCTGAACTATCTTATGGTTCCTTTTAGATATGAGACTATATGAGTCTCAGGTTAAAAAAATGAGTTTATTTAAATGGGACATAATATAAAATAGTTTATATGAAGTAAATAAATAAGGGGACAGAAACTTAAAGGATACTGAACCATTCCTTTTATTGTTATCTTCTAATAACCTTCTGATATTGACTAGAGGAATAGAAACAAAAATATTTATCCATTTAATATTCCTTCAGTAGCAAAGGCTGATTTGGAGGAACTTTGATCTATTCTCTTCCGTAATTTCCATCTTCCATCTCCTCCTAAACCACTCCAAATAAAAATTCAATCCCCATAGCAACAGCACCCAGCCACTGTCAATATGGCTTCAGGACAATTTTCTTGGCCTTACTTCAAACAAGATGGCTGCCCCAACTCCTAGGTGGATCATCAAGCTGCCACAGTATAATATGAAAATTTGCTAGATGTTATGTATTTGCTAGATGCTATTAATTATATTAACACGTTAATGAGCTTGTTTTATAAGGTTTTGGAATTGAGATTGTCTCAAATACTAGGCCAATTTCTGCTTAACAGAGATACAGAGAGATTGAGAGCCAGGTATAAGGATGAGAGGAAAACTCAAACCTTGGCTCTACGTAAGTGTTTACCTAGTAGGGTGGTAATGTTTTTCATTATTCATTCAACACATGTTTAAAGAGTTTGGAAAAGTATAACCATTATTAAAAGTACAATAAACATATATCATTTGATTATACCAATGAAAAAAACATTTATTCTTTATGGATGCCAAACAGCTTTTGAACAGCCTAATGAAAACCCAGTAGGCATAAATATTCTGCAAGTAAATATAAAAGAAGAGTAACAAATTCCAATTGCACTCATTGGATACAAAATCTTATCCAGTCCATTTTTACTATGACTTTTAAATTAGCATTATTAAATGTATATTATCACATCATTTGCATTGTTAAAGTTTATTAAATTCATTATATGTGTAAGTCCCAAAGGACATTACTGAAATTAAACTATTTTCTCCAAACAACAGAGGAATCTTACAATAAATTTATTTGTTGAATTAAAAGTGAAAGACAGTGAGATAAAGACATATTAATAGATATATTAACTAGGCAATTCTGAAAATCATGTTTTTCAGGAATTTGTAAAAATGAAAATATGTAGCATGCATTCTGACTCACTGATTCTCAAATTACAATATAATACTGTCTATTCCCCACCTTCTGGCATAATTCTGTCTCACAAATGTAGAAACATAGAAAGTTACATCAGTGATACTTCTCTAACAGCAAAACATCTTATATCAGTGGTTAAACACAATAATTGTCATGTGTACTGCTAACCATTCCAAAATTTTAACATAGTATCCTGTTAATACCTTTATATAACCAGCAATATTTTAGCTTTTCTCTTACACTTAAATTACCAAAGAAAAATGTCCTTTGCCCTTGCAGATTGCCTCTACACCCTAGTAATAGTACACAGGAGGGATAGACTGCCCTTCCACGGAGGGAAAAACAATTTTTTTAACAATAATTCAGCCTTCCAAATCACCCTAATTAATGGTTTACTTTCCAAATTACATGTTTTCAGTAAATAATAATCATAACCAACCAGTTCCATAAATAATATGACCATGTGGTCTACAAAATCATCTTGTGTTACTATAGTTACAGGACTAGACCTGTAAATTCTATGCTAATATTAAAGGAATAGAAAAGTATGTTTGCTTTCACCAATTGCAACTGTAAGCAAATGCAGGTATACAGCACTTTATTAGTAAGAACTCCTTTAGTAAGCACACGTTAAAGGAATTAATCATTCATTCCCTGCAGACTGCTTATGTATTTCATAGGGCCATTATCTGATCTGAATAACAAGAACAATTGCATAATAAAACACATTTCTGCTGACACTGGTAACTTTCTTCTTTCAACTTTAAAGTTGCAACCACCTCTGTATCACCCAGAAAGCTGGTGGCAAAAAAAAAAAAAAAAAAATCTGACAACCTGATCACCCCAACCAGCTTAGACATTTTCCTCTATTATTTTACAGAGAAAGCGATCAAACATATTATGTGTAAGTTTTACTATAAATGTTTTTTAATTCTGACTATTTTCCTCAGCACTATGACATGTCTATAACAGAGGTAGAATGTGTGTCAGATTAGTTTCCATTTTAATTGGAAATCTTTGCTTTCAGGAATGCATATAGGATCAACAATTTTGTCATGTCTTTTCTATTGTGGAAATATGTCCCATAGTATGTATGTAAGAATATGTTTGAACCACTCTCAAATTTGGTTACTTTAAGTTCAACATTATCTTTTATTTCTCAACAATTATTTTATTTCAAACATCAGGGATCACCTTAAATAGTTAAGTTCATAAATGAGTAAAGGGGACAAGCTATAATCCAAATCTGAACAACCAAACACTTCATTTTAAACAACATATTCATTTTAAACCAATAACAGAAATGGCAGATGAGAACAGCAATACTTCTCAGAAAACCCATTTGGATAAGAAATAAAGTAATATGCTAGAAATAGTGACCTTCTTTCCCAAATGATTTCCAGCTATAACTTCATGTGAACAATTTCAACTACTTCATTGTTTCATTACCCTAAAAAGTTGTTTCCTAGACAGAGCATCTAACACGGAATAACCACAAAAACTCTAAAAAGATCTTTCCCTTTTAAAAACCACTGCACATTCCTTTACTCTTATTTTTTTAAAGTGATGCCAAGTAAATATAGCTACTTTTTAATATATGCTTTTTTGGGTAAACAGGTAAAAAATTTTCACTTTACCATTATGGCCAATTAAATATTACTGAGGCCATAGATATTTGCTGAGAAGTTACTGTGTCAAAAAGAGATAATCTGTAAGATAAGTAGTTTTAATTTTCAGTCTGGTTCCAGTAACTCATACAGGCATTTGACTACAAAGTGTGCATTATATTGAGACAGAACATTGAAAGCTAAAGATAAAGTTTTTCTAATCACTTTTCTACACTAGTCAGGAAGAGTTCCATTGTGTCAAAGAACTTGGAATTTGTTAAAAATCGGGTGTAGTCTCAAAATTGCAATCCCTACTGTATGTACTGTATATGTAACAATGCAAGAAGAATTAGATTCAGAGTGCATTTGGCAGTGATAAAGAAAAAAACGCTGAAATGTTATTGATTCTCTCCCTCTTGTGCAAAACAAACTGACTCAACTATATTTTTCCTGACATAACACAAAGGTTTTATTTAGATATTACAAAATATTGGCAAATGTTAGACTCATATCTTTTAAGACATCATTAACCCTTTTGCAGAGACTGGAAGAGTGTCCTACTTGTTTTTACATAAATGCTGCAGCTACTGACATGGTGATGTTAGCCCCAAGAGAAATACTGCCTGCAAAAGTTTTTGATGCAGAGATATTCAGCCCTAGGAGACACCTTAAACCTGTCACTAGCTGCTAAGCCCCTGTCACAGTTTATAACCTGCCGTGTCAAAGTCACAACCTCAGCTCCTGCCCTCTCCCAAGCATTTTTCACATCCCTCTCCAAATTAATTTTACCCAAATCCTCCAAACGAGGTTAGTCCCACGATTTTCCTCCACATCTCATCAACCTACAAGCATTAAGGAACCTCAACAGCATTTTCTTCCCATCTTTCCAACCCCTCTTTGTTAACTTTCCCTTGACCCAATTTTTTTTTTTTTTTTTTTTTTTTTTTTTTTGCAAGCCCTCTTCAGGACTAAAGCTAAAGCAAGCAAGCAAGTAAAATCAGGGGCAAGGCAAGGATGGGAGTTGGCGTGGGTGAAGGTTGAGGTTGAAGGGAACAAGAGAAGTGAACCAATAGGGTTAGAATGCTCAAGCATTTTTCTGAGGAACCATTCTTAAATCTTAGAATCAACCACCGTTTCACCAACCAGCCTTCCAAGAGCCCTGAACAATAAGCGTTTCAAAACCAGAACCCCGGCGAGGTTGCCCACACCGAAGTCTTCCCAAGCCTCTTCCAAAAAAAAAAAAATCTTACAAACCACTTCTCAATTGTGAACTACTGAAGTTATTATATAAGTCAACTTCTTCCCTGGTAAAACGAACTCGCTGCCCCTACCATGGGGGGAAGCATTCAGCACCAGCCTCACTTTAGAGAAGAGAAAAAAGCAGCCAGTTTACTTACTAAAGCATCCGCGCCCGTCTTCCTTGGAAACCCTGAAGAGTCTTCTCTTTTCTCTCCTACCAGTCAAAGAAAGAATTGTCTTTCTATTCCACACAGGCCCAGAATAAATTGCCAGCAAGGACAGCACACGCTCAGCCAGCCGCCCGTCGGGCTGCGCCTCGGGTCGGGTGCTTCGGGTTCTGTTTGTTTCAAAAAAAAGTGGGATCTTCTTTTCGGGAGGAGGGGGGCAGAGGCCAGAAACCCGGGGCGCTCCGAAAGCTTGCTTGGGTCCTGCAAATTATTCTGAAGGCAAAGTACCTGCACTCTGCCCGCCGAGGCTGCTGTCAGCGCGGCGCGCGCGGGGAGGAGGCTGAGGAGGAGGAGCAGCAGGCGGGCTCGGCGGGGCGGGCGGGCGCGCCGGGTGGGGGAGGCTGGCGCGCGGCTCCCGGGGAGCCGGGGCCGGCGAGGAGGCGGCGGGCGGCCGTCAGGGCGAGGCGCTGCGCCGCGCGCGCGGGCCGCGGGCCGCGGGGTGCGGGGTGCAGGGTGCGGGGTGCGGGCGGGGCGGGAAGCCGAGGCGCCGAGCCTCTCGCGGCCGCTGCCGCACGCGCCGCCGCCTCGCGCTCGCTCTGCCTCGCGCCCGCACCCCGGCGCTCCCGCACACACCCCACGCCTCCCGCGGCCGCCGCACTCACCTGCATTTCCTTAACGAGCCACTTGATGGCCGCCGGCGGCGCGGGCCCGGCCGGGCGCGGAGGACGCGGCGCGGGCGGCTCGGAGCGCTCGGCCGGGAGGCGACGGCGGCCGCGGTGCGGGCGCGCGGGCCGGGGTTGGGGGGAGGGCGCGCCGGGCGCACCTGGAGCGGCTCCGGGCGGGCCGGGCTCACCCCGAGGCCCGGGCGCATCCCAGGGCTCGGGGCCGAGCGGCCCGCGCGGGGCGTGGAGGACGCGTCGGGCACGGGCTACTCCCGACACTGACGCCGCCGGGAAGACCTGCCCAGGTGTGGATCCGCTCGCGCGTCTTCACGGGTCCGCGTGCTGTCGGCGGTTTTATGGGTTTCTTTGGAGGGCAGCTGGCCGCAGGGGCGAGAGGCGGTGGGTTTAATCGCGCAGGGAGTGGAGATTTAATTTGCTCTACAGTCGATGCTTATGGAGAGCCCACGTTAGCCAGGAGTGGGGACGGGGAGCAGAGGTTAAGCGGCGCTTGGGGTGTTCTGCATATCAGAGACTGGATGCACTTTGCAGTTGGGGCGCTTGGCGGTCTTGCCGGGCTTAAGGGAGAGATAGGATCTGCTAAGCTGGCAGTTGAGAAGGGAAAAACCTGCACAATAGTTGGCGGAAAAATAGCATCGCTGGGAGAGGACACGCCGCGAGAGGACAGGCATGGGCATGGGGTCGGGGGTGGGGGGGTGTCTTTCTCCCCTGCTCGGTACCCCAAAGTGAAGTGGCTAATGCCTCATAGTGGGTGTATAACAGACTCGGGAAACAAGGGAAGTAGAACTTAGACTCCCCCACCCCCACCTCCAGTTAAGCTAGAAATGGAGGCGAGCTGGGGGCAAGGGTGTGCGGTGGAAGGAATCCAGCAGAAAGCTCTATGTATATGTATAAATGACTTTAATGTCGTTTATGACTGATGAGAGCGTGCAGCTGTGGTAACAAACGCTGTCTTGCGAAAAAGAGAGCACTGCTACTATGTGGATGAGTTTTCTTAAAAGTCAAAAGAAATATCCTGTTTATAATAATGCAAGCGAACCTTCCAAATACCCTCTGGTCAAAGGCGCTGTAAGCACTGTGGAAAACAAAAAACAAAACAAAACAAAACAAAACAAACAAACAAACAGGGAGCCGTCTACTTTCCTTATATGTCCATGATCTAATAGCAGAAATGTCACTCTCGCCCAAAGAGAAATAAAGCTTAATCAATATAGGTGACATTTTCCCCAGGGTCCTTTCACCTTTTTCTTTTCATGCCTGCTTCATTGCTTGCCTTGTTCTTTGCTCTTCGAGTAGTGACTCTTCTCCACCCCTTCCTTGCCAGACTCACTGCACAGCCTCCTTAAACCCACTGAGCTCACCCATCCAAAAAGGTTCACATAAGCACTAGCATTATCACTTAAAGCTGTTCCTGGAAGTGATAGGATCTAAACCAAAAAGACTTGTACCATGTGTGCAAGTCTGTGTGCTGTGTATGTCTCTTAATTATGCAAAGCACCTGCCCACTTATGGTGTTGTCTGTGCAAGATGATGACTAACTCATTCTCTATCCTGCTCTTTCCTCTCCCTCCCTCCCTTCAACCCATCCTCCCTCTGCACAAATACACACCACTCACTCCTGTCTCCACTCCTTCCTGTCAGTGTTCAATAATGGTTTTACATGAACTTTGTGTTAGAAAGCCTCTGACTACCTAGAGCATCTGCAAGCAGATTGGTAGGAGGGCTGCCGGTGCTCATGGCTGCTGCTAGGTTTCCTGTCATCACTCACTCACTACATACACGGCTGTACTTAATGCCAAGTGGCAGCAGCAATGACTTCCTCTCGCGATCTGTAATAATATATTTGCCCTCCCCCGGAAACACATGTAATTAATAATAAAAGAAATAATGCATCTTGAAACCATGGGAAGAGCAGACGAATGCTGATGTGGTGGTGGTAATCACCTTTTCTGTAGTTGTTGCTGCAAAGACAATGGGGCCACTTCTCCCTTTCTGCTGCTTCTAGTGGGTTAAGCAAAGCATTTGGCCCTTTTACTGTGTTCTCTTTTCCCTCTTTCCCTTGACAATAGTTTGTGTATTTTAAATAAAGATTTCATTCTGCCAACCCGCAGGAAGCTTTTAACAAGATGCAGCTGAGCGTGTCGATATCTTATATCTTTTTACTGCTGTAGAGGGGTGTTCAGCAACTTGAAACTCATCACAACTTCAGCTCAAAGCTGGCATCTCACAGAGGCAGCACTCCCTGGGGCTGATTTACTCTTGCTTCTAGACAACAACCCTTTGGTGCCCTCTAGAACAACACAGGCTACTTTATGCAATGGAAGAGGTAGAGTCATACTCAACCCCACTGCTACACCTTGCCCAACTTAATAACACCACAAGTGTTAGCTGTGATTAGCGTATTGTAGAGAGTATTTTTAGTGAATGCTTACAGTTGGAGTGTCTTTTCTCAGGATGGCTGTGCTATGCCTGAAGAGTTGAGATAATCACATTATTTAACTACCTATCTGCATCTCCTGTAAAATTTGGGTTATTCTTCTTTTGTAAATATAAAGGTGGCTTTAAATGTCCTCTTTAAGTCACTATTGTTTATTTTCTTTGAAAAGCAACCACCACTTTAGATGGGTCATTTTCAGTGAATCATGTATTTAAAACAACCTAACAAATGTGAAATATAAATAATTTTTAAAAGGGAAGTGGGCATTGGACAAAACAGCATGGTCCTGAAGAGCAGCCATCTAACATAGGTGCTTGTGATGTTCCCTTTATTTTTCTATATGACTTCCATTATCAAAAATTTAGTTATCACTGTTATATTCAAGCTTACAATTGATTTGAACAGCCTGCTGTCAATAAAAGGAATCTCCAGATTTACATTTAGATATTGGATTTTTGAGGGATTTAGGTTCTGTCTTTCTTGTCTCAGTTTTTTTTTTTTAATTAGGTTTAATCAGACAACAATAGTAACTCCTCAGCAATATAGCAATAACTTTGTTATATGTTTTTTAAATATATTAATAACAAGATGAGAAAACATCCTAACTGAATAGTACTCCATACTGTGTAATGAAAAATGTGAGAGAAAAAAATAGAAAGCATGACAAGAGAGCCAGTAGGAGCAAATAACCTGTTATCAGGGAGGACAATGGGTGAAAGAAGTATTCTGTGAACAGTTAATGGCTGGGCTTGATTTGTAAGTAATACTCTCTTACACACTGCCATCTCTGTTGCTTTTCCTTTCCTCTGTAAAAAATGGTGTACACTTAATTGAATTCATCTTTTTCCCACCTTTTTTTCCCCTAAAATTGTGCTGATTGGCAGAAATTAAAAGTACAAAAAATTCAATATTGATAACAGAGCAGGAAAACACAAAAATCACTTAATGAGTCACATTGCTCCTATTTATTTCATATGAGACAAAAATAATCCTCTACTCTTCTGCTTATCCCTTGGTCAATGCGAGCAGAGTTCTAATTGACTAACTGGGTTTAATTTACTTAATTTGTTATAGATGCTTTGATACCAAGAGAGCTACTTAGGAAACCTTATAACACAATGAATAAAATGACTGTGCCCAATTTAAGGAGTCTTAATGAGTGGAATCATATTTGTGACAATAGTGGGTTCAAGGTTGAGATGTTATTGCACTGAAATCATCATATAGCTAATGCTAAATTATACAAAATCTAAATGCTTTGGAAATAAAGATTTTGATAGAATTGTATAGACTTTTGTTTCATTTATGTTTTTATTACTTTGTGATTATTTTATATTCCTCATGCAGTCCTGATCCCTAGATTTCACCATTTGCCCTTCTAGTCCTAGGGACCTCTCCAACCTACTTCCATCTGGTTTCCTTTTTCCCCTAGCTATTGTTGTAGTATTGCCAGTGAGAGACACTGCACGCAGGAAGAAAGAAGGAAAGGTGAAGTTATACTTGCCCCATTTGATCTATATCTGGGCATTAGGGTTCTTTCTGGCAGTGGCTGCATTGCTGTAAGAAGACTGCCCTTTCTTGTCATTACCCTTCATAGCTCCAGTTCATTTTGCCACCAATATTATCGCCTTATCCCTTGCAACTTCAGATTTCCACTATGGCCTGAATTCAGAACACTCAATAGCCCCCTTGGCTCCCCTAACAGCTGTTCCTCTGGAATGTATCCTTTATCTAAATTCTATGCAAAATCATCCCTAATTGCTTCTTCTGTCTCCTCCATATATTCTCACTGACATATTTTTGTTATTTGAATTCAGAGTATTCTAAGATAACAAGAAATATTTCATTCAATTCAGTTGTTTTAAAATTGAACTAATATATTGTCCAATGTGTACAGACATGCTAAACATTACCATTACTCAAGCTGGAAAAAAGTTTAAAAACCTACAAGAGAATATTGGATGCCATAGCTGATTCTATAGCTAAATAATGACAATATTAAATATTTCCACAGAAATGTCATATTTCATGTATTAAATGAGCCAGACTCAACAACCCTTTAAAACTATCTCTCAATTTTTGCAAAATAATAATAGTGCATGCTTTGAAGGTTGGTATTTATTACCAAGGTTTTTTAGGCACTGTAAATTTCATTATTTTGGAAAATTAAATAAGGAAGG